GTTCTTCTAAGACTTCTTTCTCTTCAGACTGAGCTGATGAACGTCTTGAAGTAGCCTCCTCGTTTCCCTTGGCTGTGAAATTCAATGTTTTGTTCTGACGTATTAATTCCATATTTATAAATTTATAACACAAAGGAATGTCGTGCCATAACAAACGGATTATATTGTACTTCTGAAGTGTATTTAACCAGACGGACGGCTTTTCGATATATCGGCTGGGGCAGCTGGGAGTCAACAACTGACCAATTAGGATTTCGGCGTATGCTAGTCCCTGGTTCACATGGTTACAATTTGAGAAACAGTGCTGATACAGCAATGTTCACACCGCTTTAGGATACGCAGTCAGAAGATAGACTGAAGATTTTGAGACTACATAACAGAAGAGAATGTCGGTGCAGATCCAGTTGGTGGACAGGTATTTGTTATTATCACAGCACTCGTTAAGTGACCGGGGTGGACAATGGCTGGGCCCGGGGCAATAGGAATAGAGATAGTTAGGTCAACGGCTCGGTGCATATTCCTTACTATAACCAATCAGCAACGCTTGAAGTTATCACGTGGCGTAAAGGGCTGTGGCTTGGAAGGTCGCCAACGGTCACAAAAAATCGGGTGCCGCATTCAGTCTTGTGCGTGTGTTTGTGTTGAATAGCCGACCGGCGCACCGAGAGTCATTCTATTTTATTTGGTGAGGATAAATGGCAATGCCTTTGAAAACCCAATTAAGTGCATGCCGGTGCGTCATATACACGCATGCGTAAAATTGTCACTATTAAAATAGTATTGAGAAATAGTAAGTAGTAGTGTTTTTTCAAATAACTCTCGTGTGGAGTTTCGGTGACATTAGATCGAGTTCGTATTGTCGAGGCACAACACGGGACACATGTAATTATCTGAGCGCTATTTGAAAGGCTGTAGGGAATAGGCCTCCACGATTGATTGCGGACAGTTATTCCATTGTTGTGTGGCTTGTTACGTGAAGAATTGATATCGGGGATTAAGCTTGGACATCTTCTTGCGCGGCTTCACCGTGTGTCCACGCAGATGAGGTGAGAGGTGCCACTGCAACAGGTCCTC